AGACTCATCCGGCAGGACGGGACGCCGGGACCCCCATCACCACTGTTAAACAAGGCTACGAGCCGCCAACCTTCACCGGCTGGTTCAACGCCTGGGACGCGCACAAGTGGAGCGTGAGTCTCTAACCGTCCAGCAGGCGGCAGTAAAGCACAACACACATTCACTAACACACTAAACAACTCCATCAAAATCATGTCTGACGATCATCTCACCTACTAATAAATATATCCTTAAGCTCAACATGAAATTCAAAACTAAACCTTTTTTTTTTTACTTTCTCAACATGTTTCTGACATTATTGTGCATCATTCTTTAAATATTTTATCCAAATAGGTCTGTCATGATCATTTTTTTTTTATTTCACTTACCATGTAAATAAATTTAAACAAATATATTCATATATATTTTTTGTTTATTTATTTTTTCTGTTTTTACATATTTAGGCCTGTACCCAGCCTGGTGAAAGAGGTGGTTCTTTTCTCAAAAAATGAAAGTTTTTGGGGTTATTTGCCTCCTTTTCTATTAAATTATGAAGGTCGCTGAGTGTAAATGAGTGTGTGTGGATGTTTTCCAGAGATGGGTTGCAGCTGGAAGGACATGCGCTGCGTGAAACATATGCTGGATAAGTTGGCAGTTCATTCGAATGAATGGTGACCCCAGATTAATAAAGGGACTAAGCCGAAAAGAAGAAAGAAAATACTGCATATTTTGTGACATTTTAAGCACTAATTTAAACTGGATTAGCTTGTCGGGTGGTCATCATAACCACATGTTTTATTGCACCAAAACATTTTCTAAGGATTTAGAACATGCAAAGAAAAATGAATAAAGCTATTTTTAAAATACAAATTTATCCTGTCACATCATTAAAAAGGGAAATCTGTTAAAGTTTTAAATTGAAAAACTGTAGCCTTTAGTAGACAGAATTTCCTCAGTCCGAATTTGGCCATTTGAATAAAAAAATTAAAACATAATAATAATATTAATAACAATAACAATAATATTAATGTAGATCTTCACGATTTTGTCTTGAATAAAATGACATTTGAATATTTATCAATAGCAGAATTTGCCAAAATAGTATTTAAATGAATTCTAATATGGACTGCTTTTAGTGCTTCTCATTGGTTTTTATTTTTATTTTTTGTTCCAGGAATATAGATATAGAATAAAATACAGAAAAAAAGTTACTTGTAAAACGTTTTCTCTATTTAAAAACAATACAGCAGTGAAAGGTGACTTCACTTACGCCAGATTTCTAGCACAGCTGGATGTTGAACTCATAAAAATTGTTAATTGTTTGCATTGAACAAAACTATTGGAGTAAGCGACAGACAACAGAGGATTCCGCTTGGTTTTAAAGCCTTATTTGATGGGTTATTTTTACAACTTATGATGTCGCAGCAGTCAAAATTAGACAAATTAGTTCATGTATAGTACAAATTGTTGACCTTTGTCAGAGGGGTGGGTCTTTTGTATTTACATTCATACTGTTATTTTTACCTGAATGAAACTACTTTTCATTAAAACTTTAACTGCTATATTATATTATATTATATTATATTATATTATATTATATTATATTATATTAAATTATATTATATTATATTATATTATATTATATTATATTATATTATATTATATTATATGTTATATTATATTATATTATATTATATTATATTATATTATATTATATTATATTATATTATATTATATATGATAGTTTGTTTTATCTTTTTTATTAAATTTCTTTTTTTTTTATATGTGTTTTTTTAGGGAAATTTGAACTAAACAGATTTAAAGATTTTATACTGTTTAAACTTTAAATTTAATATATTTGTATAGTTGTTTTAAATGTTCTATTAAAATCATACTTTTTAAATGAATTTGTTCATATGAATATAGCCATTGTTGCTAACTTAAATCATAAATAACTACATTAATATGCTAAGCATTCATCATTTAAAAGTACAATAGTTTGTGCAGAAAAACTACATTGCCCATGATTCTGTGCAAAATGCCACCAATCAGAGGCATGCAGAAAGCAACGCACAACAACAACAACAGCAACAACAACAAACAACAACAAACAGATCTTAATTTCCTTTCAAACTAAATGCTGAACATTGCTGAAAAAGTAGATGGGCACAATACTGAGCTTTATTCCTACTGGATAAAATCCAGCAGCACAATTCCTCATAATATGAAACTAAATGTGTAATTTCATGTTGAGTTTAAACCATTTGACCATGATTTAATATTTCAAATCAACACACTTTTTGAGTTTGACTTTACGTGTATATTCCAGGGAGGCCTTTCATATGAAGAGATGAAAAGCAAGCTGGGTGATGTTTCACAAATCACTGTGGTAAAATCATTTACCATACCAATCAAATGCTTGTTCCTGCATGCATTAAATAAATGAATCTCACTGGATCAGATTGGTGATCTTATTGTGTTGATATAGACAGATTTAAAAATGATTTAAACCTCATTTTCTCTAGAGTCTCAACAACACAGACTTGAATAAGAAGCCAGGAGGAGGTGTGGGAAACTACAGCGCTCCTGGGGGACCGGGGAGTATACGCTCCCACAATCAGAGGATGTCCAGTGTACAGTTCGGAGATGGGTCTCAAAACAGAGCAAAGCCTTCTGGGATGCAAAATTCAGAGCAGCTTGTTAAAATGCCAAATCAGCTGCCTCAAGGACTGGATCCTGAAAAACGAGAGGTGGGTTTAGGCACCTACAAAACTTTAGGTTTTAGGGTAGTTTTGAACAATTTTGGCTACATTTTGGTCAGACATCACAACACATGGAAGGCCATATTCTGCCACTGGATTAAAAAAAGATATGTAAAAGGATGTGTAACGGCGATTGCATCATCTTATGATTAACTTTTTTTTATTTTAATTAATTCAGAGTTTGTATAGTAAACTAGTAAATATCTTGTGATTTCTCTAAATATCTTGGTTTAGACTTAATTTCTTACACTTTACAAAGAGTTTACATCATCTGGAGTTGTTACCTCAAAAATGTTGACTTTTTTAGTATTACAACTTTATTATTTATTATCTGGGCTGTCACTCAATTGAGAATTTACAGTTAGTGTTTCATTTTTATTATATCTCACAATTCTGAGTTTTTATGTTAATGTTGAAATGTATTTTTGCTCAGTTCTGAGTTTCTTGATTAGAATTACAACTTTATTTCTTTTAACTGCACATGTCTTGTAAATTTTCCTCATGAATTCTGAGTTTAAATCTCAAAATTGAGATTTATTTTCTTAAAATTGCTACTTTTTCTCTTGTAACTTGTAGCTCAAGTTCATGAGCAGTTTTTTCATGCAGAATTCTGAGTTCATTTCTCAAAATCGAGATTCATTTACTCTTCTTTATTTCTTGTAACTTTATGAGCTCTCTCACAATTCTGACTTTTCTCGCTTTTCGTTTCTGAGTTTATGACTCAAGATTTCATCTTATGAAATCTTATGAATGTATAGTCAGTAAATATGAATCAAGATTTGTTTACTTAAATGTTTTACTTTATTTCTTGTGGCTGCAAGTTTATGAGCTGTCTCACAATTTTGACCCTTTACTCTGAATTCTGAGTTAATTTCTCAAAATCAGAATTTATTTTCTAAAAATGTTTTTGTTTCCGAGCTGTAGGCAATTCTCAATTTCTCAAATCTTATTATTCTGAGTTTATATATCGCAGTCAAGATCTATTTTCTCAAAATTATAATTGTATTTTTTGTTTATTATGTGTGATCTCAAAAACTCTTGAGGTCATTGCTCAATATCGAGATTTCTTTTCTCAAAATTATGACTTTATTTCTTGTAACTGCAAGTTATAAGCTTTGTCGCAATTCTGACCATTTTCTCAGAATTCTGAGTTTATATCTCAAGATGCCTCAAGATCCAGATTTATTTGCTCAAATTTCTGACTGTATTTCTCGTAACTGCAAGTTTATGAGTGGTCTTGCAATTCTCAGTTTTTTTTCTTAGTATTATAAATTTTTTTCTCAAAATCTGAATTTATTTGCTCAAAATGATGTCATTATTTGTCATAACCGCAAGTTTACAAGCGTACGCAATTCTGAAAGTTTACATCTCGCAATCGAAATTTACTTTCTCAAAATTATGACTTCATTTGTAGTAACTTTATTTCTTGTAACTGCAAGTTTATGAGTGATCTCATGTAAATTTAGACATTTTCTCAAAACTGTGAGTTCATATGTCAGAATCGAGATTTGTTTTCTCAAAATTACTTTATTTCTTATAGCGGCAAGTTTATGAGCTGTTTTGCAATTATGACCTATTTCTCTGAATTCTGAGTTCATTTCTCAAAATCAGAATTTTTTTTCTAAAACTTTATTTATTGTATAGACTGACTTTATTTTTCTGAATTCTGAGAAGTTTACATCTCGCAATGGTAATTTATTTCATAATTACAGTAAAACTTTAATTCTTAGTTCTGGAATTTTACGTGCAATTCTTGCAGTTCACACATTATATTTAACTTTTTTTGTACTCCATTGTAAAAACAAGCATCCATACTTAACTAATATAGAGCTAAGTGTATAATTTAGTAAAAGATCTCCTTTTTTCATCTTTTATTTCTTCAGGAGTATTTGTCTGATGCTGAATTTGAAAATCTCCTGGGCTGCACTCGTGCCAATTTCCAGCGTTTGCCTAAATGGCGTCAAAACGACCTGAAAAAGAAGGCAGGACTATTTTGATTCGCTTTTCACCAACAAGATGAAGACCTTCATACCTGATTATGCACTTAATGGATATTTTAAGATGGCAAGCTATCACTATTATACATTTATTTATTCATTAATGCATTTAAACATTTCGCGGCTAACATTTAAAAGTGCAACCCAATAGAAATGCCATGTAAATATATTTTACAAAAGACGAATTTGTGTTTACCCAGTCACTTGAAACACATTGTGAATCCTGTTTAGTACTAATAAAAACACACTGTATGCCAATAAATCTTTCTGAGATGTTTAATCCATATTTAATAGTTGTCACAGCATTTTATAGTCAGTAAAGATATTTATTTATCCTTTTCTGACGTCACAACAGGAAACTAAAATAAAAAAGATTGCTGAAGTAAACAACCACTGGAAAAGATATTATATAATTTACATGAACATAAAAATAGAAACATTTCGAGAAACAGATTAGAAAAAAAGCAGCAACACCTTAAACCAACAGAGTATAAAATAAACACCAAAAAATATAAAGCACACCTATGTACACCCTGTTTTACCAATCCTTTTCTATTATATTATACACATTTGTAAGGCAACTTTGACAAGAAATCTAGAAAACACCACTGCTGCTCAGAGACATAACATCTGATTATGAATGATAAACATGTTCATCTGAAAATAACAGATAGCATATATAGGGTAAACAGTTCACTGTCTAACATTTAATCCAGCAATGCTGTATTAAAACAGCATTAAACCAAAAAGAAACTGAACACAGGAATGCTGTTTTTAATATGAAATTCTCACAGTATATACCAGGGGTGCCCAAACTTTTGCTTATGAAGGGCCAACAACCAAGCTTGATTGAGGGTGGTAGGCTGAAGGTTCAAGCTTTAATACCATTAAAGCTCGAGCGACACGAGTCAAACATTTCATTTCAGTTGGCTTTAATGTAGCTCAAAAATTAAACAAATAAGCAAAAGTTTACGGTAAAATGACGACCTCTGTTAAAGGCATTCACCCCAACCTTTTCATCATTCTAAATCTCTTCTCAGATTGGATGGCGAGCCAAACCAAAGGTTATCATAGGCCAACTTTGGCATGCGGGCCCTACTTTGGGCATCTCTGGTATATACTATAACCATAACAAGTAAAAATGACTCATACCTCACCTCTAATGGCTTTTTCAGTTGCACCAGTTAAAAATATTGAAGGTTGATTAAAGGGACAATTAAAAAAATAATAATTACATATGCCCTTGGAAATCAATTCCAAGTTAGCAAATATTGCCTATCAATGGAAAATGTCATTTCAATCCCTGGTTAAAGCAAATTCTAAGTTTCAACTATTGTTATGAATTGTTATGGGTTCTTGGTGTGGCCTTAAAACTCTTTAATTTAGGCACATTTGTGACTAATATGAGGACTTTAAATGTTTGGAAAGAACACATACACCCTGTCTGACAATCAGAAAGAAAAAACATAAATACAAACACTGTTTAAATAATCTGCTAATGTAAAAAGGCAACAGTGTAGTATATTTTAAATATAAAAGTCTTAATATTAAGATAGAAAACAATGTCAAATGGTAAAAAGATATACTTGTACAATCACTTGAATGCAGTGTTTGGTAACAATTGTGCTACAAATAGAGACTGGAATGGTTTAACTTTTTTCTAAATCTGTACACTTTCTGCATTTTCTAAAATCAGCGTAATTCTTCAATATAGACCTTGATATGGTAAGTATGGTATGTCATTTTATGTGTCATGTTTTCTTTTTTGGTTACCAACAATAACTTTTAAAAGAAAGACTTGACCCACACCTAATATTTCCACAAAGTACTTTCAGCTATTTGGTACTCATAAAGGCCAATTTATACTTCTGTGTCGAGTGTATGCTGTAGATTTCCCACGGACCCTGAAGCGAGCCCTGATGCACACCTCTATAAAAATTTAACTACTGAACATGTCCCGACAATGCAGAGTGTAAGATCTGTGATTGGTTGGCTTGGTGGAGGTGACAAGTTTGGGAAGGGCCACACAGCGCATGTTCAACACATCTCTATTGTGTTTATTTTGGGATTCAAGTTGGGATTAAATGTTTGCCCTGCCTGTCTTTTTCTTCCTTTTATTCCACCATCCACACTGAGACAGAGCAGCAGCGCTTTAAAATCAAAACAGCCTCTTCAGTTTCCAAAAAGCTCCGCCGTAGAGTGGACAGATGGTGTAACCATATCAAAACATGCGTTTTCAAATTAAAACATAGTGTAAACGGGGCACCGCATCGCACAACATTTCTAGCGTAAACTCACAACACCTGCAAATAAACTCGACACAGTGGAACATAGAAACTCCAACTCCTATCTCAGAAGTGTTCCTGCACAGCTGCATGGACAGAAATATAAACCAGGCTTTAGAGCAACTAACTGGTAAACCGTAAGGCACTGATAAATGTCCAGATCTTCCGGAATGTGTTCATTGAGGATTGTCCTGCTCTGAATGCTTTGAGGCGATTGAGAGAAAAGTCTTTTAAGCATCTAGAAGCATAACGTGTACAAAGAGTCCTGCTGAAGGAATGATGATTCCTCTCTTCGTGAGCAGAGGCATATGACGATAACCTGAAGACAGAAGATTCACAATAAAGATTTACAACTGCAGAACTGTAGATCAAATTTAAAACAGTGCTAATACTGTCTCACTTGGTGAACATGAGCAAAGAAGACTGTAAAAAATGTCTTGAAATGTTTAACCTTTTGATCGTTTTGCTCAAAATATTAACAAAGAAACCAAAGACATGCATGTTGTTTTTTAATGAGACTGGAAGCTTGTTTCTTAAAACTGTTAAAATTGTTTGTGAGAATGGTGGTGTCAGATTGTAGTTTTGTAGACTTTATGATCTAAAAACTAGGGCACAAATATATTGTTTTAGCATCAATATCGCAACATGAGAATCGACAATAGTCACATCGCAAGATCTCAATTTCGAGTGAATTTAAACCATTTGGATGCAAGAAATGATAATTTGTGCTACTTTAACAGAGATTATTTGTGTTTAATTATTTATTCAATGATGAATATGCTGTGTTATTTTACATTTGAATTACTGTACCTTAATACTGTTAGACTCAACCATAAAGCACTGTACTATTTTCATCTGTGCTTTATATATATATATATATATATATATATATATATATATATATATATATATATATATATATATATATATATATACTACAGTTCTGTCTGGTTCTCGAATCTGATTGGCTTATAGCCTGACAGCCATGAGATATAGCAATATCAGCACCAGTACAGCCTCTTTACCCTTGGTGTATCACTCCGCCCACATACAGCCAGCAACAAACAGTGACACCACAGTTTGACAAATATTGCTGCTGTTAGACAACAAAATGTACTTTTGAGGCTTTTTAGTCGATAATGTAGTTGTTTAGATTGCAACTATGCCATTTATTTGTAAGAAAAGTGTCTATTTTAAAATATTTACAATTTCTGAGAGAGCTCGTCGGCGGCCATTGACCTGCCATAGTGCAGTAGACCAAAGACATTGGCTGCATCCGAAACCACCTACTACTCAGTAGGTACTGCATTTGAATTTAAAAGTACTACTCAGCTGTTAGGAAAGTATGAATGGAATTCGGACGTACTACATCCGCCATTTTGCCATGGTCATGTGACCTACCTGCATCAGTTGCGTCACTTCACTCCCATTCATGAACTCTCTCGCGGGGCATCATGGGATAGCGCAGCGTGCATGGGATGCGCACTACAGAATCTCGGCCGAAGTAGTAAGTCATCCAGGTACTTCATGCATACTGATTTTCGAATTCTATGAATTCGGACATACTACTAGTCGCATACTGATTTTAGCGTACTGTATAGTATGGAAATATGCGATTTCGGGCGCAGCCAGTGATTTTCTATCGTCAAATAAATTAATAATTTTATCTGAAAATGGCAAAGAAAGCGTTCTTGCAGGACTGCCAGAGTTCATCAAGATTTTTTAGGATTCATCTTCAATGCCTCCTCCTTCATCTTACCCCAGACATGCTCAATTATGTTTAAACTGGTGACTGGGCTGGCCAATCCTGGAGCTCCTTGACCTTCTTTGCTTTCAGGAACTTTGATGTGGAGGCTGAAGTATGAGAAGGATCTCCTTCCTGCTGAGGAATTTGCCCTCTCCTGTGGTTTGTGATGTAATGGGCAGCAAAAATGTCTTGATACCTCAGGCTGTTGATGTTGCCATTCTCTCTGCAAATCTCTCTCTGATTTAGAATGTCAGATCGCCCCTCATACTAAATGCAACCACAAACCATGATTTTTCCTTCACCAAACATTTCTGTGAGAATCTTGAGTCCATGCTGGTTCCACTAGGTGTTCTGCAGTGTTTGTGATGATTGGAATGCAGTTCAACAGATGGTTCATCTGAAAAATCGACTTTCTGCCACTTTTCCAAACGATCAATTAGAATTAAAGGTTTTTTTTGAAGCTCTTAAAACTGGGATCGACAACAAGACTTTTGTCAGGTAGTGTATACATATCAGAAAAGCAAAATTTTGCAATGTCAGTTATTCCATTATCATGTAGCCCTACTAAATACTCAACTAACCTCTGCAATTCTACAGCTGTGTCCTCTTCCAGATTCATTCATAACACATAAGGTTGACTAAATTACTTCCCTGATAGGGGAAATGTGATGTTGGACAATTTCAGTGTTTCCACTATTTTCTTACATTGAATGTCAACAACTAATCACAGCTGTTCTTTTACATATTGTGCAGTCTCCAATTCCTAGTGATTCAGGTATAATAAAAAATGAAATATTAATGTAAAGGAACCTTCAAATATTTTGATTATTTATTTAAATTAAAAATAGCAAAAAAAATAAAAAATAAAAATAAATAAAATAGCCCAACATCACCAACGCTAATTTCCTCCATCAATGCAATAATTTAAAAGCAAAAAGTTTTATGAATGAGTCTGGAAGAGGGTGAGTGTCTGTCTTTATCACTGTTTAGAACAGGGGTGTCAAACTCAATTCCTAGAGGGCCGAAGCCCTGCACAGTTTAGTTCCAACCCTGCTCCAACACACTTACCTGTAGGTTTCAAACAAGCCTGAAGGACTCAATCAGTTTGATCAGGTGTGTTTAATTAGGGTTGGAACTAAACTGTGCAGAGCTGCGGCCCTTTTGGAACTGAGTTTGACACCTGTGGTTTAGAAGAAGGTACAAGTGGCAAGTACAAAAAATCCCCCAAAACCACTAAATTCCAAAAAATAGTTGGGTGTTGTAGTCAGAAAATCTCCAAAACTCAAGACTTCCAGGTCAGTTGTCCAAAATCAGACTTCATCTACATTACCACTGACAGTCTAAAAGTGAATGCCCTAACTCACATCCAAAACAAGCTTTCTTTCTTGATAATATTTTGAGCATTTTCAACAATTATAACAATAATTCACACATGCCTTCTTTCCTCATATGTATTAAGTGATCTAGTGTTATTAGTGTACAGTATGTTGGTGATCTCACCGTTCTGCATGCTTGTAAGGGGTATAGTGTACAGGCCAATCAGGTCATTTTTTGAAGCAGCGTCATAATCCTCCACTACAAATCGCACCAATGCCAGTTCTGGCACATTAACTGTGAACTGGAAGTTTGTATTCCACATTGGATTAAAGCCTGTTATTAAACACACAGACACACAATTTAGTGGCTTGTACTTTTGTGAAAAGTATTTACTAAATGTGCAAATGTTTATACTGGTTGTCACTTGCCATTGTTGTCAATGTGATGTGTCTGTTTGCTGGCGTTGTCCTGTGGAACACCGTAAATCTCCACCCGGACATGAGGATCTACAATGGACTTCTCCTTGTTCTTGTTGATCTTCGGGAGCTGCTGGGCTGAAATGACCTAGAGAGACATTTAAGATAGATTCACATTTTGTTTAGAGATATTGGCCAATATTTGAGATATTTTTTGTTAATTCATCAATGTAAGGTGATATCTTTATCTTAATTTTAGACACACTTTAAGAAATTCTGTACTGATAGTATTGTTAGTTATGAATAGTATTGTTAATGTTATCATCAGCAAATCAGAAAAAAGTAACTTGTGTTAAATTTTTTGTATATGTTTTACTATATTTTTTACTCTAAATTTTCCTACACATCACCCAAAAATTGTATACATAAAATACTGAATAAAATATTTTTTGATGTTTTTCTTAAAAATGACTTACTGCCTTAAATTTATACCATAATTTATGTAAAATTAACTTTACAATTCACTTCAACTTACATTACATAAACACATCAATTAATGTAAAACTTACAAAATGAAGTTAAAATATGGTTAACCTATTTAAATAAGTTCAAAAAACGTATTATCTAAAAACTATATATCCAAACACACATCCTATTCTTTATGCCCCTTGTAGTGATGCATACATCTCCAATACCCGACAGATGGACAAACCTAAACTTGTTTTTATTTATAAATATGCATATAATAAATAATATTGCTAATAAAAATAACATTATACAGATGCAAAACTGTCATGAATAAACTAAAAAAGGTTTAAATATTTATGTAAAAGATCATTTTTATTATCTTAACATTTTATTATCTTAACAACAACATTATAATCCTTTAATTTCCCTTAAAATACTTTAATTTTTTTTTATGTAAAGAAATTTGTGTATTGCTGTACATCCGGTGTGCATTAAGCAATGTGTAAGTGTTTGAACCCACATAGGCACATAACAAACGTCCTCTGCACTGGACTTTAGACCTGCTTTTAGATGGTCAATGGCGCAGTCTATTTCAGTTCCTCAAGAGCAACGCACCAACAATGAACTTAACACACCTCCTTTATAGACCGTAACCCCAATTAGGTCCACAAAGTGGAACAAATGGGTTTACTGTTTAAAGAACATGGTGCAAAACGGGAAAATTAGACTTGCGCTGGTCTGAAAATAGCAACAAATCACGGCAAACACGTCTTGCGCCTTTTTGCGCTGGGTGTATGATGGGGTTATGGTTCACATTTCTTTACAGTGTAGTTAAATATCCACACATTTTCTTGCATACATTAATTTGCTGTTTAAAAATGATTTGTTTTAGTAATTAATATGTTAGCAATAATAACATATTTTTGCTTTAGAAATATTTCTTGTAGCAAGAATACTTTTTACTTTTATTATGTAAATTTATCTGTGCATCCCTAATTTGTTTTATAATCTTTGTCTCTGTGTGTCTCTATTTAGCATCCTGTAAGTTTGAGTCAAGGCCCAATAATTAAAACTATAAAAATATGACTATATATGTGTCTATATACAGTATATCTTGTCAGGGTGATCTCACCATGATGTGCAGGACCTTCTTCTGCAGCCAGGGCCCTTTTCTGAGGTTGATGGGGTCAAACTGTGAGGCCGGGTCTCTCAGAAACTCAGGCTTCAGTATGTAGCCGGACTTGCCATTAGGAAGAAATCGGGCCTGGTTCAGATCCATCTCTTTGCAAGGAGTCTGAAAGTTTAGAGCCACTGTGGACCAACAAAACCAATTCAAAATGTTCCTTCTATGCATAAGTTGACTTTGAACAAACTCATATTGTATTATTTTGTAGGAGATTTGCACCTATTTGGCATCCAGCGTTCCACAGTGGCACAGGATTGTAGTTTGATGAATCTGTTCTGGATCCAGCCGGGTAGATTCTGCTCAGCTTATCAATGTTGTGACGAATGAATGCGTTAGCTTTAAGACAAAGTATCATAAAAATAGTCAAATAAATTTTTATATACAAATTAAATGTTATATACAAGACAAGTTAAACCTAATAGAGTAATGCAGTGATGTATTTTTGTAGAGGTGTATCTGCCCAATTCAATATTAACCACTACGGTTGAGTACTGAAAATGCATACAGTATACAGTATGCATACAGGTGTGTAAATGCAGATTCCGGTTTCTCATTTCAATGCCACTAGGCCAACAAATGCCAAGGTTGATGACTGAAATCAGGGGTAGAGGACTATAAACAAGCTTCTTTACTTGAAGCAATTAGTAGACTACATTTAAAATCATTAAACTTAGTAATTATTTTAATTTTAATTATTGTTATACTAGCTTACTGCATGTTTGTGGCCTGTTTTTGTAACATGTGCATACAACATAATACAGCTTGCACATGTGCTTTGAATAGCGTTTGTGCTTTGAATTGTGTTTGTTCACAAGGTGTCAGCACTGAACATTGTTTGCTTCACAATTAGAAGAGAAACTGAGAGACAAAACAACAGCAGCAAAATTGAAAACAGCAATAACCATAGACACAGTTACTTACAGAGTTTGACAAGAATGTGAAGGTGATAACAGATAGCAGCTATTGTAATCTAAATCGAGTACAAATTAATATTTATAGCTTACAACTTTTGTTGTATAAAAATGCAAACAAGTTATGATAGACTTAAGGTACAATGTCAGTGTTATATCTAGGGCCAGGCAGAATCTGCTGACATTTTTTGCAATTTCTGCGCAGAATTTTGTAAAAAAAAAAAAAAAAAAGAAAACATCTGTGGATTTATGCAGAATGATTTTGGGAGTATCATAATTAAAAGCTTAATAACTTATATTTAATATTTACAATGCAAAGCTAATCAGATCCACTTGTTTAGTAGACAAAGCGAGAGATTTTAATTATAAAACTACTAAAAGACAGAAAATATTGCTTTACAAACTGTATTTCAAATAAATCTATTAACATTTAATATGACTGAAATTAACTTAAAAACTGAATAAATATAAATTTACAGACATTTACACAAGTAAATAAATAGACTCAATGATGAGCTAAAAATCTGCACAAACCTGCAGATTTCTGCACGTGCAGATTCCTTGTGGGCCTGGCTGTAACCATTGTCAAAATTTAATATTTATAGTGTAATAAATTGTGACAAGCGATAGGACAGGAGAAGTGTCACTTTTATATACAGTTGTTGTTTTTGTTTTACCAAAAAAGACAAATATTTATATTTACATAGATGTTATGGTAATGTTTTGTTCAATATAAAGATGTGTTTTTTATAAACTGGTATACAGTTGTCAACATTTGAAGTGGATTAAAATTGTTTTTCAAAATTGTCCTAAAACAGAAACGAGTGTTGTTGAATAGTTTTAGGACAACTTTTATGTTGAATACTATATACTGTACTTTATCAGGCATTGTTAGGCACTTACGCACATTACAAAAAATTCTTTTTGCTGCTTGTTCAAACAACTTATTTAAAATGAGCTGAATCAACAAAAAACTTCATTTTTAATTTTTGTTTTGGTATTGTATTTTTTTTAAAGTACTTAAATTAGTAAAACTTGCAAAAGCTTTTTCTTTTCTTTTTTTACATTGTATATCAATTTAAAGGGATAGTTCACAAAAAAGAAAATTCTGTCATCATTTACTCATACTCCACTTGTTACAAACCTCCACAAGAAATCAAAACTAACCATATGATTTTGTTATCTCACATTGTCATTAGAAAAATTGTTTGCCCTTTTAATCTTTAACTGAAATCCATAAATGCACTTACATTACATATATCTTAAGAACTGGGCATGGCTAAAATATTTAATCACGCTGCTGCAACTGTCAGTTTTGACAACAAACTAAAATTGTGAGCAGGAGTCTGTTAGGTTATAATAACTCTTCCCAAACCCCTTTGCCCATCTTTCTGAATGAAAAGCCTACTATACTACATCCAATCATCTCGCAGTAGAAAAAAACAAGCTACGTCCTCTGTTGTGTCATTTAATATTCCGTTTCGCTAAACTGAGTCACAAATCCAACAAAATAATGGTTGCAGCTTCCGGTTCATTGGGACTATAAGTTTCTTTCTACTACTGAACACAAAGAAAGATATACAGAATAATTTTGGGGGAAGAAAACGGAGTCAATTGGCCCATGACCATTTTTTGTCCCTCTTACGTATTTCAATGGCTGCTTTCTTCTAACACTCTTCATAATAAATTGTTTTGTATTCAACAGAAGAAAAAAAAATTGTAAAAAAAAAAAAAAACACTTGAGATTGTTTGAGTAAATGGTGAGGAAATTTCCATTTTTTGGGAATTATCTCTTTAAAAGTATTGATTTGCCACCTATTTTAAAAAAGAAATGCGAAAAATGTAACTATTAGCAACACTATTAACCACAGACAATTTCAGACATCAAACCAAAACCCACTGATACAATTATCAATACTAAAAAATACTCCACAACTCAGCACACCCTGCATACCCTTGTACCTGATTGTTCAGCTAAGTTCATGGCTTTGCCCTCCTTGAAGGAAGCCATCTCATAGAAGGCCTGTTTTTTCCTTGATTGCTCGAAGCTGGTGAAATGCACACTCTTGCAGTAGACAACCAGGTCTGACAGCTCCTTGGCCAGCTTGATCTTTTTGGATTTCTAAAAAGGAAACAAAACCAATTACAAACACAGTAGGCCACAACATATAAACAATAAACTTCACATGGAGCATGCAAAGACAATGGGATGCCAAACAGGCACAAGTCTGCGGTCTACTGATTTGAATCAGGCCTTTGAGTGTATTTGTCATAGCTGTGTGCACTGATCTGAACTCAACCCTATCTACCACAACTTTGTGTATGCAAATAAGAGTAGGTGTACTTTGTTGAGCGTTTTGAAAATTTGCTTTCCAATTTACATTTAATATGGAACCTTCCAAACTTTAAAACAGTACAAATTAGGTATGTTTTCATGTTTATGAGGGTGTTCTAATTCTTCAATACACTGATAGTGGTTAGAGCAGGTTAAACTCGGGTCTGTGGGTACAGCTCTTGCTGGTTTTGGGTCTTAAACACACCTTCGAATCTTTGTGTGTGGGTTCACCCTCTTTCAGATCGGCAGCCTCGTCTTCCTCTGACACACTCTCCACATCCTCCGCAGTGTTGTTGTTGAAAGCAGCATCAAGTTTGTTCAAACGCTTTCCCTTGATCAAGAAACGTCCCTTCAGGTCCTGAAAAAGAAATGTAGATGACACAAATATAATATCATCTAGATTTTTAATAATATCATCTATTTCCAAAATTGCAATGAAATAGACAAAAATGCATTAATATTTATCCATATAATGTTAACATATATTAATGTCTGTACTATATATTTTACTGTACAATACATTTTAATTAATATTTCAATTTATAGAATAAATCAAATAATTATTGGAAATTAAAACTAATAAATTAACAGAAAAAAAATCATTTAAGGTTAATTGATTAAAACATAATAGTTTTAATAACTCATTTCTAATAACTGATTTATTTTATCTTTGCTATGATGTCAGTAAATAATATTTGACTAGATTTTTTTAAAGACACTTCTATAAAGCTTAAAGTGACATTTAAAAGCTTATCTAGGTTCATTAAGTTAACTAGGCAAGATAGTATATTAAGGCAAGTTATTGTATTACGATGGTTTGTTCTGTAGATAATCAAAAAAAATATATAGCTTAAAGGGGCTAATAATTTTGACCTCAAAATGGCTTTTAAAAAATAAAAACTGCTTTTATTGTAGCCGAAATAAAACAAATAAGACTTTCTCCACAAGAAAAACCATTATCAGACATACAGTGAAAATTTCCTTGCTCTGTTAAACATCATTTGGGAAATATTTAGAAAAGAAAAGTGGGGCTAATAATTATGACTTCAACTGTTCATATATATATAAAAAATACAACATATAAACACAGTGCTCAACATATATGAGTACACCCCTCACAATTCTCTCACTTTCTAAAGGAGCTTTACAATATTATATTTGTGTACATACATTAGATTAGTCAGTACTGAAACCAAAACTGAAACATAATCTAACAAAATAACGTTGATAACTGTCCAAAATTAGTACACTAAATTTATTGTTAATATAATAATAAAAAAAATTAGCAAAAACGTTAAAATAATAAATAAAAAATGTACAAAGAGCAAAATTCAAAAGGAACAAAACTTTTTTTGGAAATTTTGTAAATTGTAATTTTCTTTTCAATATTTTGATTTGGAATTTAAATGTATAATCTTTCTATTTCTAAAGATGTTCATTGAATGAAAAATATTTTTACTATATCTGTTTAATAAACCTGTCTTGTTTTAATGCACCAAAATATATTACCTATATACTGTATATTACCTATATATGTTTTTTCTTGTGTTCTTTTGTTGAACACACAATTATATTTGAAATACTGAACATATATTTTATATTATTTTAAAACATGTTGGTATCCAAACAATCCATGATTGGCATAGAATAGAATAAAAATAATTCAAGTCAATTCAAGTCAAGGATAACCATAAACTTTAAGGGGAATTTAATGTTGACCAGTAATTCTGTAAGTTAACTACACCTTTAATATTAAAAGTTTACATGTTAACATTAATTTTAAATATACTATTCATAAATATTCTGAAGAAATAAATCTTTTCCCCAGCCAACACATTCAAAGTCAAAACCAAATTAGTTTTATTTTTAGCAAGCATTACTGATTGATAAATTGCAGACAACATTACAATACTGTACAATGAAGAACAAACCCTAAGGTGAAAGTTAAATGTTGGTGTGAGCTATGTGTAGGAAATTCTAGATAATCTTTACATATTATATGGAAGTGAAAAATGATGCTTTTCTATTGTCTTTCTTGCTGGCATGTTTGTGGATTTGATGGTTTATGGCTGATCCACCCTCAGGCTGACAAACTGGATTTCCATATATTCATTCAGAGAAACGGGCAGAACTTCTCAGTACAGGACAAAGGTCATGGCTATAGAAGAAAAAGCCTGTCGGACAAGCTTAAAAATGCAGTGACATCAACCAGAAGCTCCTCCCACCCCACAACCAAAATAAACACCTCAGACCCTGCCTGTCTGAACTTGTACTGTCATGTCTTTGCCTTTCACACTGCTCTGAAACTTTGCTCTGCTTTGGTGATTCAATCAAATACAAAAAAGTGATTCATGTAATCTTTAGCTCCACTGATAATCACTTTCTTCCTTTATTTCAATTCATGGATACTAAAGTAAACAGGAAGATGACATTATAAGGATGTCATCTAGGAAAGTTTGCTGAGGTGAAGCTTTAAGAGAAACTTTAAGAGATCTTGTGACCACTTTAGGTGTTGTCTTTGTTTTCAACAAGGTGGCAATAAGTAGCATCATCTATTTTATGAAGAGTTGTGTGCGTGTCTGCTCTTTTCCACAGCCTGGAAGTAAAATCTCTTTTCACATTAATCATCATTGTGAAATAAGTCACATAAATACTCTCACAACTATCTCATTCAATGTAAATCCAAGTGTGATGTCTAAATAGTAAAAAATAACTTTTCATTGACAGTTACATTTAGTTTTTAGGCCATTTGTTCCTGTAAATCAACCTAATCATGCACATTTAAATGTAAGATGTCTTTCTCTTCAAGTAATTCTTTAAAAAAAACAAAAACATATTGCTTTTAGTTTGGAATTGGTAAAATGTGCTTTGGCAAAATGATTATCAGAATACTGACTGAATAATTCTGCACACCCAGCAATAGAAATAGAAACTCTTACAGATGTTTTAACATGCAAAATTCATTCATTCATTCATTTTCTTGTTGGCTTAGTTCCTTTATTAATCTGGGGTCGCCACAGCGGAATGAACCGCCAACTTATCTAGCAAGTTTTCCCATCTCTGGGAAACATCCACACACACTACGGACAATTTAGCTTACCCAATTCACCTGTACTGCATATCTTTGGACTGTGGGGGAAACTGGAGCACACAGAGGAAACCCACGCGAACACAGAAAGAACATGCAAACTCCACACTGAAATGTCAACTGAGCCGAGGCTCGAACCAGCAACCCAGCGACCTTCTTGCTGTGAGGCAACAGCACTACCTACTACGCCACTGCTTCGCCCCAACATGCAAAACTAAGTGTAAAAATAATTGAAGTAAACATTAATTGTTAAATGGTTCATATTATTTAGATTTCTCTATACTCAATGTCTTTAAGCATTTTAAATTAAACAAAAATCCAGGTAAAAAATGTTTTTGCATTTTGAGTACATATTTGCCATGCAGACCTTTCAAAGGTTCCTTGGTTTAAAAGATTTGCTTTACAAATCTCTACTCTACTGGCAATAAACCAGTTTTGGCATGCAAAATGTTGCTAATGTGACTGTAACTTAGCAGAATTAGAAGAGAAAATCAACTCTTCCCACGGAAATTCCAGTTCCATCACAAACAGATCCGTAATATCAAGTAATAGCAGAGTAACAAGTTGGGGTTTTCTACACTCTGAAAATATTGTAATCAACCAATTGCATCAGAAACTAGCCCTTAAGCATTCTAAAATTCAAACTGAGCATAAGTGTTGTGATCTCCAGCAGTCTGTCCTCCAGCAGAGGAGATTGTAATCATCAGCAGTGTTTTCTCCATTGGAAATCAATTACTACTGAGCTACATATCCCAGAAGTCTTTGCACCAATCACTCCTGCCACAGCTGACAGTCATTTGGACACAAACACACACGTACACACACAAACAGCTGATACTCATGATCATTGATTACTTGGACTATTTAAACCCATCTGAAGCTGAACATTGCGACCTGTTTTCCTTGTTTTGCCTTGTCGTGTTTGACCCTCGCCTTGTTTAGTTTGTTTATTCCTGTATGCTGCCTGCCTTTGATCATTCGCCTGCTTATTGACTACAATTCTGGATTGCCTGTATACATCTGTTTGCTCCTGTGTTGACCATTGCTTGCCAGACCTAGTGGTGGGCAAAGCAAGGCTTTATGAAACACTGAAACAGTCGAAGCAAATGTGTCGAAGCTTTGAAACGTTTCGAAACCCAACTCTACAGTGACACCTAGTGATCATTTTTATGTGTTGCACTGAAACGGCTTCAGCAAAGAATAGTTGAGCAAATTGAGGTATTAAACCCCACTTTGCAGAGCTAAACCTTTTAGTGATTTAGTGGAACGGTTAAAGTTTCAGACTACCATGTGGGGATAGTGGGTTCGAATCCAGGCTGACAGCTATTTGGAAATGCTTAATATCAGTTGGTAATGCTTTGTTCTTGTATCGTTTTGTTTCAACATTGGTCTGACATCCGAATAAACACTTTGTTAATAAATTTGTCTTGTTTTGGTCATAAAACAGGGTTGTTGCTAGATCAGACACAATTGTGGCCAGAATTTACCAAGAATTATTTATATTATTCATTAAATTTCCCATTTATTGTATTTTATAAACCCAAACCCTAAACCCGACCATCACAGTACTGTAAAAATATATAATTATTGTTTTAAAGTGTTACAAAAAGATGCTAAATTGATGGCGTATCAGTAGCTGTATCTTATTTAGACTACACCATAAAACAGAAACATGATTAAAATAAATAAAACCATAATTTAAGGGTATTTCTACAAGTCGGGATTCGAACCCAAAAGTTATTTAATGCACAGTACCACTGTACACATGTACAGTCCACAAGGCCACATGAGACCAAATTGTTTTCTGACCCTGGCACTCAAATGCAAATTCGCCAGGTCTCGAAACGCTTCTAAACTGATCAATGCTTTGAATCGCTTTAGTCACGTGACCAGGTGTTTCGAAACACTTTAGTTGAAACACTTTAGGTGCAGTGTTTCAAGTTGGCCTCAAGTTGGCTCCAACATTGTGATGATTTACTTAATAAATATCACAAAGTGATAGTTCTGTCAAAAATATCAATTCTGTCATCATTTACTCATCTTTACCTTGTTCCAACTTGTTTGAGTTAAACACAACGGAAGATCTAAAGTATATTGGGAAAACAGCCATTGATATCAATAATAAGCTGCTTTTCCCACCAACATTCTTCAGAACATTTTGTGTTATGTTTAACAGAAGAAAGAAATTTGTTTAAGTTTAGAACCACTTGAGTGTGAGTAAATCATGTGCTATTTAATTTATTTCTTTAAAGTATATAGGTAACAGTGATGATATGTATGGCTTTAAAGGATAAGGCTTATTTTGTAAAGTGTTAGCTTAAAAAGCACTTGTGCATGTGATGTGATTTGACTAGAGGGCTGAATATCAAAACAAATATTATCACATCACTCTCTTTCTTTGTTTTTCTGTCTGTTATTAAAGGTGTAAGAAGCACTAGAACAGTGTTATATATTTTGCTTAGTTATGAACTTACTTTATCCTAAATGTTTCGAAGACTGTTTAAAATCCAGGGAAATAAGCCATTTTTAACTACTGACATGGACTGTCCTTCTGTTTTACCATGCTAACGACAATTTTAATGTACTGCATGTTTGTTAGTCTGCCGAGAACATAATAACAGAACCCTAAAATGCATTTAGTATGACAAAACAGAGCTGCTTCTTCCCCATGTGATCACACTTAGAAGAACCAGAAGCAGTGGACTGTGGCAAAATAAAAGCTCTGCTGCTTTCATGCAACATCATGCTTGTCTCTCATCAGGAATTGCTTCAGCGCTCTTGTTTTCTTCGACAGCTTTCAGTCTTAAATAGTTTTGAATACTTCAACTCATCCATGAACATGATTTTTGTAGGAATTCCATAGGATGTAATGATGACCACAACTCCCATGATTCCACACTCAGTCACAATGTCAGCAAAAAATGCTTTTGTTTGTTGTGAATGTATGCCCTCTAGCACTGAAATTACGTACTGTGCCTTTAAGAATATGGATGTCACAGTGAGAAAATCTCCCACTCACATTTTACTTTCATTTTCGATTTTGTGGTAAAGTAAGGCGTATTCTGTGAGAATGTCCATAGTAGATAAGATATCGATGGTCAGGATCTTCTGCATTATTGTACACCATCTTTGCCATGGTCCTATTACAGAATGAGTGTAATGTGTTTTGTTATAAACCTGTTCTTGCTGTTCTCCTGCTGTATGGAGTACTACAGAAGCAGTCATTAAAGGGATAGTTCACCCAAAAAAAATTAGGCAAACTATTCCTTTAACTGATGGATCAATTTAGTTCTATCTATCTTTATTTGTATTGCACTTTTAACAGTGTCAAAACAGCTTAACAGAGATGAAGAAAAGAGAATAACAATTAGATTTAGCTCAGTTAAGTATAAATGTTAAAGTTAAGTTAAGCTTAATTCAGATCAGTGTCATGCAAATGTCACTGATGAAAGCAATGATGTGAGCAGGTTCATGACCAGTTAGTTGCTAATTACTGATTACGTCATTAAAATTGTATTACTTTGTAATTAGTACGAAATAAAGGGATACTAAAGGGATAGTTCACTCAAATATGTAAATTTCCACACCACAGCAGCCATTGACTTTCATAGTAGTGAAACAAAAAGTCAATGGCTGTTTTTTTCCAACATTCTTCAGTGTTTTTCCTTTTGTGGTCAACAGAAGAAAGAAACTCAAACAGGTTCATATCAAGTAGAGCGAGAGCAGATGATGCGGAAGTTTCAGTTTCACAAATCTAAAATGCAATGACAATTGAAATTAAACTCTTTTAATTCTTTAGAGCTAGTTGCAAGATTGATATCTGCATGTAAACCAAACTAAAGTGCAATTTAATTTAAGGTATAAAGTTTAAAGTGATTTAAAGGATAACATATAATCAAACATTTATTAAACATGCTCTCATTTTATCAAGGAAAATGTATATACGAATAGGTATCAATATTGTTTTTTCAGCCAGACCTACAGAATTAAATGTTGTGTATCTCCTCATACTTGTAACACTTTATCACAGACTTTTTGTAAAATCCCTACAGGATCAATACATTTACAGGGTTTCTGCAGGTTTCTTTAAGTCAAATGTAAGACTTATTAAGACCCTTTTAAGAGCATTATGGATGAAATTTTAGACTTACACAGGGCTAAATACTGAAGTTTTTTTAATGGCCCAGTTACTTCAGGAAATTTTTGTATTAATGGAAGATCATGTAAAGAGATGTGCTGCTTTAGTTTTCCTTCCCTGCTTAGGGAATTTGAATAGTTTTGAGTAGGATTACTGATGTTAGGACTGTGTTGGTTTGGTTTAAGTTTTTGTATGTTTTGTCTGTTCTAGGTTGGGGCGTGCCCTCAGCGCGCCTGATGCTCATCAGGACCCTTATTTAAACTCAGTGAGATTACTTCATGTTTTTAATCATGTTTAACATGATTTAACACCTAAAATTAAATATTTAAGTGAATTTAAGACCTTTTGTTTTTGCAATTTAAGACATTTTAAAACTTTAAGACCTTGCACAACCCTGAATTTAAAACAAAAAACTGAACCAGTTGCCCTAAAAAAGTGGGCAGATACAGTTGTGCACAACAAACTGTTCAGTAAAACATGCATACAAAAAATTTTTCATTCTAAAGGGTCTAACCTCAGGTCCTGGAAATGTGGTGGGCATTTTTTGTCCCAGCGGTTGAGTAAGCAAAGCACTGCCCAGGATGGTGGTTAAGTGCATGGCGACGATTTTCTGCTGCTCTAAAGAACAATGGTTCTCCAAAGACAAGATCACTGGATACGGTGAGGCCTGGAGTGACAAAAAAACGAAATCATAATCCACAAAAGTTCTGCCATCAATCATTACTTCACACACAGTCGGTGCCATTTCACTTACTTTAAAAGCATAATCTTTGATAGCCTTAATGACGTCTTTAAACGGCACTTTGGATGTGAGTGTGTGGCCATGGTAAATGACTGGCTCCCCATTTGCTCCATCCCAGATATCCAGCTCCACACAGCGACAGCTCTTCATCAGCGCTCTGAAAGACAACGTCTATTAGCTGCATTCCAAATCACATAATATTCAACCTAAAAAGTAATTCAAAAAATTAATTAGTCTGTCCCAAATTTAATTTGTTAAATGAGCATTCCAAAGGTACTTGGATTTTCTACTATAAGTGCAGATCTGTGTATGCATTAATAGCTAATAGTACACTCTGTGTTGGAAGTGAATTTAATTAAAACTACAAACATGGACAAAAAGTGTTCACCCGTGGCAGATATGTGGGACACATGGTATTAGATTTGGAATATGGCATAGTTCAACCAAAAACTGAATTCTGTCATAAATTAATTCACTTTTCCAAAGTATGGTTTGGTACGGTTCGGCACAACCAGGCTTGCTTCAGTTTTGCTCTGCCTTGTTTGCATTTCTACCACAGTTTAGTACCACGTAAAGTGGGTGGGATTAATCCTATAGTCGTGACTTCCTGAAAGCTTTTTTCAACCCAGGTGATATTATCTGTTTCTTGCTGGATCTGCTCTTCTGTAATCAATGAGAGGAATGTCTGAACTTTTCTACTTATCACAATAATTAAAGCAAATGACAAAAAGACACTTTTCAGGTGTCTTTGTCTTGTATAAACAGTTTAGTCATATCAACCAACAATACAGTAGTGGCTGCTGCTGACCATTTAAATATTTGGTCAAAAATCCAATGAAGCTGGTAGTAATGATTCTAATGGCCCAATAGTTGATCAGTAGTGTGTATGCGTCACATTTTGGTTACAGTACGGCTCACATGGAATCTCACCCGAGATGGTAAAACAAAAAAAGTATCATGTACTTAATACATGTTGTACTTGAAAAGCTCCCTAAAGTGAGTCGTGCCAAACCAAACCATGCTGTACCGTTCAGTGGAAAAGCCTTTCCTCACCTTCAATTGTTCCAAACCTGTTTGACTTAAGACAAAAGAAGATTTTTTTGAAGAAAGCTGGAAACCAGCAACTATTAATTTAAATTTTTTCCCACTTTAGATGTAAATTGTAAACCATTTTGAAGAAAGAAAAAAACTATTTCTTGTGTTCAACAAAATAAAGAAACACATAAAGGTTTGGAATGACTTGATGGAGAGTAAATGCTGTGTAGATTTTCATTTTTGGGTGAACCACTCCTTTTGGTAGTGTGGTAATTTAAAATTTATATTCAAAAGTAATGTAAAGTGTCAACTTGTTTTCTCTTTTCAGTCAACTGGTTAGGCGGTTTCTGTCCCCAGAACATGATGAGACCAGGCCTGAAAAAGCAGTTTACCCTGCTGACCACAACCCTTCATTTGCATCTGAACCCACCTACATGCTGTGAAATGTATAAATGTATAGTGTTTGCTTTGCAGTTTAGAGTTTGCTTTTAATGACGCCACAGACACGCTGAGTTCCTCTTATTAAAAAGGATTCTGCTTTGAAGACAACCAAAAGATTCTCTCTGGTTTTTTTGGGCTCTTAGAAGTTTACAATAGTGGAAAGGCTTGGTAAAGTGTTTAATAAATGTGTTTAATAAAAAATATTGACTTCATGTTATCCGCAGTATATTTAGGCCCAACCCCAATATTACCCCTTCGCCATTCCCCTTACCCCTACCCCTCGTTTTGCGCATTTAAGTGAAGGGGTAGTGGTGTCCCAATTCTCTTTAGCTTAAAGGCGTAGGGTTAAGTTGAAGTGTAGACACCCCTTCGAACTAAGATTTTTCAGGACCACACTTGAAACCAAGAAGTGAGAAAATTTCCCAGAATACACCAGCCAAAACGGCAGCATAGCTGCACTCGGAAGTAAAGAGATCAAGGAGAATTTTTACAACAAACAAGCACATGTTTTAATACATCCATAACCGTGTTCGTGTTTTATCATCATGCTTTAAAAAAAAACGCTAAAATAAAAAACGCTAAATTTCGCTATCTGTAATCCCTAATAATAACTCCTGTACAGCAGTCCCACAACATTCTGACACTCAATGACACTTGAATACCCTGTCAGAAAAGTGTGGTTGTAGTTCTAGTGGCTGGGAATGACCTTTTTATAGTGTCTGCTATAATGTTAATGTTATTTTTGGTGTGTTTACATTGTTGAATATGGCCACTGTGTAAATGCACAGTACAGTTACGATCTTATTGTCACATTATATCGTTATGATAATACAATGTATACCTTCAGTGATTTCTTGAAGATAAATACCAAAAATTAACACAACTGGATTAACGTCAGCAATCGCGATTGTCTGATCTCATATGAAGCAAGAGATCGCGATGACATTTGATGACATGTAAAGGTGCTGTAGTGGTGTTCCATTTCTTAGAGGTAAATTTTAAAGCCCTTCCCCTTCACACTCTGTTTCAAGGGCCAAGGGGAAGAGGTAGGGGTACAAATATAGAATTGGGATTGGGTCTTACTCTGCAACAACATTAAAAAAAACTTTTGGAAAGAGGCATTTGATAATTAACTTTTCAATGCACAATTACGTTGTGGTTTCTCTACCTAAAATACCCATGAATGGCAGACTGTTCATGCTAAGTTCTAATTCATCTCCAATACTGTAATTAAAATTAATTCTAAAAGAAATGTGGAGGATCTGACAAGATAATTGACAGGGCATCTAACCATGCAACAGACCAGTCCATTAATGATGAAGTAGTGTGTGCCAAAGAACACAAACTTAAAGCATGGAGTACAAGTAGGTGAATTGGGACGTAGCATTTGTTTCATATTGCTTATGGAGGAATGCATAATGTGTAAATACAATTCTGTTGAAAATTCCAAGCATGTCATACTTGATATAGGCTTCTGTGCTGCTGGGCCCCTTCAGCTGGTCCTCCATCAGATAAGTGTTATGGGAAGATGAAATGAAGTAATGATTCAATGGCTGCTGCATATCTTGGTACACGTCAATGTGGGCCGGATTTAGCAGGGTGCCTTCTTGGTTCAGGTACATCAGGAAACCATCTTTGCTCATATGCTTGTCTTGTTTTGCTGGGTACATTTAAAAATAATGTATTAGGCATGGGCCGGTATAAGATTCTTACGGTATGATAACCTAGGATATAAATATTACGGTTTATGGTAACACGGTATTGAGATTATTGCTCTAAAATATATTCTTTTTATATGTCAGGCTAAAAAAACAAACAGTTTTTCCTTTTGTACACAATATATTTTAATTTGGTAAACAGTTTAATTATTTTGGAGCAGTAAACATGTCAGGCTAAATAGCTCAAATGAATTTCTTTTCTGCTGAAGATACTGCTATCCTAAAAAAATGAAAATATAAATAAAAAATCTTACTCATACCTAGGGCCAGACGGAATCTGCTGACATTTTTTGCTATTTCTGCACAGAATTGTGTTAAAAATCTGCGCATTCAAGCGCAACTATTTTGGGATTATCATAACTAAAACCTTAATATTTGAAATAAAAAGTAATACCTTTTAACCTGTTATTTAATGTTTACAATGCAAATCCAATTAGATCCACTTTATTTGGTAAACAAAGCAACATCTGTACTAAAAGTCAGAAAATATTTCTTTACAAATTATTTTGTAAATAAATCTTATGAATGTTTTCATGTTAGTCAATAAGATTACTGAAATTAATTTAAAAACTGACACGCATTTACACAAGTAAATAAACAGAATCAATGATGGGCTTAAAATCTGTGTAAATCTGCAGAGTTTTGGGCGCACCGATTCCGTGTGGGCCTAGTCATACCTTAGGAATGGCATAGCAGAAAATTTTAACGGTTATATAACCTTGACTTTTCTAAACCACGATATACCTTGAACACAGTTATCGTCCATGCCTAGTATAGATTACATTCTCGAAAAATATAGTACAGTAGAACCAAAATCATTTATTTTGCTTAATTAATATAAATTAATTATGTTTTTTTCCTTTTAAGCCGAGATTTAAGCAACATTAATTCCAGTCTTCAGTGTCACATACAGTGCATCTGGAAAGTATTGATAGCGCTTCAGTTTTTCTGCATTATTTTTTATGTGCATGTGATTTTCAGGTTTTTTAGTTTTAATAAATTTGCAGCAATTTCAATTTTTCACATTGTCATTATGGGGTATTGTGTGTAGAATTTGATGGAAATAAATGAATTTATCCCATTCCGAAATAAGGCTGTAACATACAAAAAATGTTGAAAAAGTGAAGCGCTATCAGCACTTTCCGGATGCACTGTATAATATATGATCATTTATAAATGATTATATGAGCTGATTTGGAGCTCAGAAAATATTATTCTTAGCTTTAATGTTAAAAAATGCTGTTCTGCTTACTTTTTGTGCAAATTATAATATGTTTTTCTGGAGCCTTTAAAAAATGAATAGTTATAAATGACAAAATAATAAATGACAATTTTTTTTTTTTAATTAATACTGTGAATAAATGTGCTGTTTTAACTTTCAATAAATGTTACCTTATGTATTGCTACGGTAATTTATGAGCCATTACCTGTCTCATCCACCTCATATTTTTTAATAAGTTCTTCTGCATAGCCCAAAGACACTGGCTCCCTCTGTTCAAGTTGGATGAAGTTCAACAGGTCATTGCGGCTCATCTGGCCATTACTTGTAGCATATTTGTCATAGATCACATCAATTTCATCACGTTGAGTCAGCAAATTGTAGAAGAGTTTAATCTCGGATCCCTCTAGGGTGCCAGAATTGGATGTGTCACACTTCTGAAATATCAAATGAAACACATAATATTAAAGCACTTTTTTATTCACTGCTGTTAAGCTTTAAAAATCATTTTAAGATTTTTCTTTACTTGGCAACGTGTATTTACAGTTGAAGTCAGAACTATTAGCCCAACTTTGCATTTTCTCTTTTTTAAATATTTCCCAAATAATTTTTAACAGAGCAAGGAAATTTTCACAGTATGTCTGATGATATTTTATCTTCTGGAGAAAGTGTTAATTTTTTTTTTTCAGCTAGAATAAAAGCAGTTGTTAATTTTTGCGGTGCGGTAGGGAAGTTGCTAGGGTGAGCAGAGGGAGCTAGTGCCTGAGGGAGCGAGTGCCCGAAACACTAGAACACGCAGAGAGAGGCCTTAGTCATATCTCCGCAGTCTACCACCGATGGCTGTTCTCGCTTCTCTGTGGCGTTTTGACACAAAAAATACACGTCCAAATTTAGGGGGGCCAAGCTTGTTGACACGAGAACTGGTGGAAGAGTGCTCTTTAAATGGAATTTGATACAGCACGTTAAATGGAAAGAAAAAAACCTCTGCATTTTGCGACGCAGGTGTCTGTGGTTCTTTTAAGGTAATCTAAAATCACTGTTTACATGGTAATCTAGACTCTAAATCCGGGTATTGTCTAAATCAGATTAAAATTGGAGCTTTGGTGTCCATGTACATACATACTCATTGAAAGTGCCAGATGTCAGAGACAGTATATTCCTCTGCCTTTGAGCCCTCAAATGTGTCATTAAGTTTGACGTGTTTCCCCATTTTACACGCAACTGCTTTACGTTGCGGTCAGAATCCTTGCTTGTAAAATATGCTTTGGAACGCTTAGTTTAAGCAAATTTGATGAATGCAATCATGCCTGTTGATCTGAAGAGAGTCAGACTCGCTCACCGAATGCGCTGTACTGCGTGCGTCCGTTCCCTTCTGGGTGGTTGCTAAGGTGCTGCTAGGCAGTTGCTATGGTGTTCTGAGTGATTGCTAAGGCATTCCTAGGTAGTTGCTGATGTGTTCTAAGTGGTACTGTAGATAGGCAGTTGCTAAGGCTTTCCTAGGGTGTTCTAAGTGGTTACTAAGGCAATGGCTAGGTGGTTACTAGAGTGTTTTAGACATGGCTAAAGTGTTACTAGGCAGTTGCAAAATTTTTCTGAGTGATTGCTAGGCGGTTAATAGGGTGCTCTAGGTCGTTACTAAGGTGCTGCTACGCAGTTGCTAGGTATTCTGAGTGGTTGCTAAAGGCTGATTTATACTTCAGCGTCAAGCGCACATATATGCTATGGCAGAGCCTACGCGTGGAAGCATAGCCCTCGCCGTGGCCGTCGGCATTGCTGACGTGCACCTCTCAAAAAATGTAAGTACACGTCGCAACAACGCGTATCGCAAGCTCTGTGATTGGTCAGCTTGGAAGCGCTGACGAGTGTAGGCGGGGCCGAGAGCCGTGCGAGTCCACTTGTTTACAAGTGTCGACTCTTTACAAGGAGCTTAGGGTGAAGACTGTTCCCTTGTGTTTACCTTATGGTTAAAGCTGTTGTTCCTGCCTCAAAATGAGCGAGCTTGAACCACTTGTACATTGAGAAAGCGTTCAGAAAAAACAAAATACCAGCGAAGAAACTCAACACAGAGGAACATAAACACCTTCTGCCAACTAGCGTTTTGGAAGTGCAGAGCAACAGAAACAGTGCGCAGAAAGCACAGCTACATGCGTTGCATGCACCATGGGTCATGCCGATCACTTGACACAGAAGTATAAACCAGGCTTAAGGTTTGCTAGCTGGTTGCTAAGGTGTTCGGAGTGGTGCTTAGGCAGTTGCTAACATAAATTACCATAGTTCTAGTATGAATTAGCATGTTGCTAGCATGCTACTAGTATAAACTAACCTGTTGTTAACATGAATTTAGAATTAATTAGCATGTTTCTAATACGTTTATAGTATGAATTAATTAGCATATTGCTAATATGATTAGTATATTGTTATTATGCATTGGTATATTGTTAGTATGTGTCTAGTATGAATAATATATTAGTATGGTGTTGTTGGTATGTTTAATATAAAGTCAAAGACTATAAGTTTATACAAGTTTTTTGCAATGGAAGCTTACGGGACAGTTGCTAAGATGCGATAAGTGGTTGCTAGGGTGTGGATAGTAAGTTAAAAGGTCATCAATAATTGGCAGATTGGTGGTCTGAGTTAAATGGGGTCAAGTCAGTGTGACAGTCTGGCGCAAAGTTATAAGGTCACAAAGTTTGGTTTTGGAATTTTCCGGGACAGTTTTCGGAAAACCTTAAGTCAGATCAGCTTGGAGGTTTGGATTGAGTTTGATGGTTGTAGTAGGAAAGGTCTAAGAGGAGATGCTTATAGAAATTAGTCTCAGTAGAAGAATGAAAAACATAAAAAATATGAAAAACATGAAAAAATGAATTCTTACTCACCCTGAAGAGTGTCTCTGCGTAACTGTCGTTCACCTCAATATTGATTTGGCGCAGGAAATGCTTCAACTCCTTCAAGGACATTTTGTTGTCTGCATTCTTGTCTGCCTTGCGCATGCATTCATAGATCCAGCTTTTTATTAGATGTAAGGACTGAATGCTCAAAAATTTGCTTCATTAAAGGAACACTCTACATTTTTTGAGTGGTTACATTTTTACAAGTCCCCTAGAGTTAAACGGTTGAATTATTTTTAAATCCATTTAGCTGATCTCTGGGTCTAACTTGAGCACTTTTAGCTTGGCTTAGCATGCATCATTGAATCAGATCAGACCTTTAGCATCTCACTCAAAAATATCCAAAATATTTTAATAATTACTGACAACAAGCCAACGCTGCAGCAGGCTCAATGATATTAAAAAGCACATGAAAATCATCTAACTTCCGTCAGTATAACCAGTATGCTTGGCAACAAAATAGACATTAGTGAAAGACCTAGATTTACTTTCTGCAGCTGGGAACAATTTTCAGGTGCTGTGTAATATCATCGCGCCTGATGCAGCTATGGCAGCAAAGTTCCTTGATTATTATGGCAGAATGAGAGTACAGTTCCTAGCCAAATCAGACTAGAAAAAGACAACTTTTCATAATCCATTGGTATTTTGTATATAATTGTACTACATAAAAGTAACGTTTTAAATAGGAAAATAATAGAAATGCTTTGGTCACTTTTGAATGAGATGCTAATGGTCTAATCTGATTCAATGATCTATACTAAGCTAAGCTAAAAGTACTCTTGACAGAACTGCATATCAGCTATGGATTTACAAATGGTTAAACTCAACTGTTTTACTCTAGGGGAGTTGTAAAATTAGCCTATTTTCCTTTAATCTTTCACAGAACACTTTAAAACACTCAAATACACTGTGGAAAAGTCAAATAGACTTTTTTTGTAGGGAATTGGGAAAGATGCATGTTCAAGGATACTGTTCACTGTTCTGTTGGCGATTGAGTTTATGCAGGCGGTTGATAACCTTCTCCAGGCTGTTGACCCAACAATTGGCTTCATCATCAGAAGAGGCGATCAGGTCCAGGTTTTCCCGTCTACCTTTGAAGATGATGGAGAAGCAGCGATTCTCAATCGAGGAATATGTGTATTTCTGCAGTCCTTCAGACTGTCGGCCGAGACGCACAGAATCAATTTCCGCAAGTTCAACTGTCAAAGAAGCAAGACATATTTCATTATTACTCATTGATGTAATAATGCTAAAATAAAACAATACTTTTACATTTTAGGTGAATTTTTCTATAACGATAAACTAAGTATTATTTGTGTAATGTGATTTTCAGCTGGTATCTTGGCTGCTGTAGGCCTGTCAATGAGATATAAAATATATATAAACTACTCCAAGGCCACCAGTAGGTGGTAACATTAATGATTCTTTGATTCATAAATTTAAATGTTTTGTTCAAAACGCCTGACTCATTTAGAAATTAAGCAAATATAGGAACTGTGTTTTTGGATCGATCACTGAATCATTAATTAGTTCACTAATTAACAAATTAAAATAATCAGCACAATAGTTGCTCTGATTTGCACAATTTTTTAAATCTACTTACATTGGCAAAACAACAACAAAAACTGACAATATTGTTATGTATAAATTGTAACCCACTCAATACTATATTTTTGTTTTGTTAACTACTGGATACAGTCAAATCCCAATTGAGACTTTAATATTATTTAACTAGTGTAGATCATCTTATATAGTGCATCTGGAAAGTTCCACATTTTTTATTGTACAGCCTTATTCCAAAATTGATTAAATTAATTTATTTCCTCCAAATTCTACACACAATTCCCCATGATGACAATGTAAAAAAACATATTTTTTCTGTTGTAGATTTATTAAAAATAAAAAACCTGAAAAATCGCATGTACATAAGTATTCACAGCCTTTGCAGTAAAGCTCTAAATTGAGCTAAAACATATTCTGTTTCCAATGATCATTCTTGAGATGTTTCAGCAGCTTAATCGGAGTTCAACTGTGGTAAATTCAGTTGATTGAATATAATTTGAAAAGGCATACAGGGTTGACAGTGCATGTCAAAGCACAAACCAAGCATGAAGACAAAGGAATTGTCTGTAGACCTCCTAGACAGAATTGTCTCAAGGCCGGGGAAGGTAACAGAGAAATTTCTGTTGCTCTAAAAGTTCCAATGAGCACAGTGGCCACCATCATCCATGAGTGTAAGATGTTTGGAACCCCCAAACATCTAACCGGCCATCTAAGCTGAGTGATCGGGGGAAAAGGGCCTTAGTCAGGGAGGTGATCAATAACCCGATGGTCACTCTGTCTGAGTTCCAGCGTTCTTCTGTGGATAGAGGAGAACCTTACAGAAGGATAACCATCTGTGCAGCAATCCACTAGTCAGGCCTGTATGGTAAAGTGGCTAGATGGAAGCCACTCCCTGCCTGGAATTTGCCAAAAGGCATCTGAAGGACTCTCAGACCATAATAAACAAAATTTTCTGATGAGACAAAAATGTAACTTTTTGTAGTGAATGCCAGGCGTTACGTTTGGAGAAAACCTGGCACCACTCATCACCATGCTAATACCATCCCTACAATGAAGCATGGTGGCAGCAGGAACTGGAAGATTAGTCAGGATAGAGGGAAAGACTAAGGCGGCAGTTCATCCTCCACCTGGACAATGCCCCAAAGCACACCGTCAAAATATCAATGGAGTGGCTTCACAACAACTCGATGAATGTCCTTGAGTTTCCCAGCCAGAGCCCAGATCTAAATCCAATTGAACATCCCTGGAGAGATCAGAGAAAAGCTGTACACCGCCGCTTGTCATCCGACCTGATAGAGCTTGAGAAGTACTGCAAAGAGGAATAGGTGAACATTCCCAAGGACAGGTGGCCAAGCTTGTGGCATCATGTTCAAAAAGACTTGAGGCTGTAATTGGTGCATCAACAAAGTATTGAGCAAAAGCTGTGAATACTTATGCACATGTGATTTTTCAGTTTTTGTTTTTATATATATATAATAAATTAGCTGCACTTTCAAAAAATATATTTTTATACATTGTCATTATGGAGTATTGTGTGTAGAATTTGGAGGAAATAAATTAATTTAATAAATTTTGGAATAAGGCTTTAACAAAAAATGTGGAAAAAGTGAAGCGCTATGGATACTTTCTGTATGTACTGTAAATATAATCATACACAATAGCTTACACAGGGATATGTTTGTTATCATAAATTCAGTTATAGGGTCTTTTAATGATTAAAATGAATATGTTATGAAATAAATACTACAGGGGAAATAAATTTTAAACAATTTAGTTCAAGAGAGAGTAAAAATAAATAAAGTAAATTTTATATTAGTACTCAGTACAAGATTGTAGAAGTTATAGCTTAAACTAATACATTTATTTTACTTGAATTTATTATGTAAATTCAATGCAATCTTTTTTTTTTTCAATTTTGCCTATAGGCACTATGCATGTTTTTTTGTTTATTTGATAGTTCTACTTTATGCATTCTGTTAAGCTTTATTACAGTAAAAAAGATTGCACTCTTTTAGTATTGCAAATAAGTATTACGACAATCTTGTCATCTTCATTTAAACTTTAATAATAATAAATATTATACCATATTTAATAAATATTGCACAACTCTGATAGATATCTGGACACAGAAAATGTCAAACAACAAAACAACAACAAAACAAATGCCTAAAATAATCAAATAAAATGAAAACACTTCTGACACTTAAACTTAAGAGGCTCTTGAATAATCTGGATTTTTCATTCAAAAATTTTTTAGCAAAGCACTACTGAATGAACAGACTAACAGCAGGCATCACACCAGACAGTCATAAGATACTGATAATCTCATACTCATTGAGAGCAATTGAATATGCTTGGCAAACACAGCTGCACATTATTATCACACTCTTTCTATGACCTCTGCCCTTTAATCCCAATGTTAAACAAACTAAAAATGATAAAGGACAAAATAAACTCTATTCCTTTAAAATCAAGTGAAGATATATCAAGTAATATATAACATGTTTTTATAAAAAGTAGTGCTTTAATTTACTGTTCGTGTGAGATATGCAGAAATCTCTGTTCCGATTAATGTATGATCCCAAATAAAACAATCAGGCACAATAGACGGCTGACATTGAAGAATCAGATCAGTGATGGTTAGTGTGTATTCAGATAACTGGAGCAAAGGCCACTTTCTATGAATATGTACTGTATGTACACATGACAAACCCACATCAAATATTTAATTATTAATAATCAATTGTGTCTAAGAATGAAAAATGTAGCTGAGTTTTCATGACTATTTTCCTTTTGTTTATGATTATTGCATTACTTAGTAGGACCGTGGCCTTTGACTTCAACTGCATTGAATGTTAAAACTTTAACAAAGTTACTTTTATTGACATGTTGTAGTTGTAGTTTTTTTTTCCAAAGTAACAATGTAAAAAATATAATAATTCATTAGTAATGTAAGTCTGCAACAAGAAGAAACATTTTCATTCTCACTGCACTCAAACAATAATTTTTTTTTTTTGTTCAAAATACTTATTTAAAATGAGCTAAAACAGCAACTTTGGGAGGACTTAAACTTTTTATGTTTAATCAACTTAAATTTGAAAACTAGTAAGTTAACTTAATTCTTTCATGTTGTCCTAAAACTAATCAATTGTGTGAAACCTAGCATTTGTTACCCTATATGTAATGGGCAACAATGCAACTATTATGAGGTAAAAACAGGTTTGCTTGAGCATTCTGTCCTTTTTTTGGGTCACATCTTGTTACATAACCTATATAAAAAATGTTTGGTTTGTTCATGATTTGTTTATGATTTTGTTTATGAGTTGTGGTTTCATATAGTGTTGCATTGCAAATAGCTTTTAATTCACGTGACTTTTAAGAAAGCTAAATAATAAATAAAAAAAACATATTCAACCTGCCAAAGTGGCTAGTGGGAGCAGCTGTCTAACCTGCCGCAATTGAAATCTACCCACATTTGGGTTGGCGGGTGTTAATGTCAAGCCCTGATGCAGAAAAAGCTTCACTTTCAAAGAGCATTCTTTATTTCTTCTGCACTCATGCCTCATCCTTTAAGCCGTTTGATTGATAAACCACATCCTGTTAGGTGCTTGCTTTCACTGTATCTACACTCAGTGAGAAGAAAGATCAGGTCTGAGCTATGATAATTGTCAGTGAAGAGCTAGATATTAAAGCAGAACATTTATTTCTTTACATGTATTATTTTGAACATAAATTAATTTACTTTTTTTTTTATCTCTAATCTTGGATTTACAGTGAATGACTAATATTGTAGATAGTGTTGCAGTGTACAATAAATGTTTCTTATTTAAAAGTATTTTAATATGTAATTTATTCCTGTGTTGACATTTTACTTCAGAATCATATGTCATAATATAACTTAGAACTTAGAACAAAAAATGTGTTGACTATTATACTGTAGATATTGAGCTGTTTAAGCTAAATAATAACTTTAAGAAGAAGAAGAAGAAGAATAGAAATCTTAAGATTAAGAATTCATTTTTAAAATTAAAAAATATGAAAAAGAGATCAGGCGACATGGTAGTGCAGTGGGTAGTGTTGTCGCCTCACAGCAAGTAGGTCACTGGTTCAATCCCCGGCTGGGTCAGCTGGCATTTCTGTGTGGAGTTTGCACATTCTCCCTGTGTTTGTGTGGGTTTCCTCCGGGTGCTCCGGTTTCTCCAACAGTCCAAAGACACGTGGTATAGGTAAATTGTATCGTCTAAATTGTCTGCAGTGTATGTGTGTGCATGCAAGAGTGTATGGGTGTTTCTTAGTGCTGGGTTGCGGTTGGAAGGGCATCCGCTGCGTAATAACATATGCTGGATAAGTTGGCGGTTCATTCAGCTGTGGCGACCCCAGATTAATAATTGGACTAAGCCGAAAAGAAAATGAATGAATGAAAAAGAGATCAAGATAGATGAGTACAGATATTCACAAAAGTTACATTTCTGATGTCCTAGAATAGCTTAGTTGTACTACAACCCCAGTTGTGACAGTATGGACAAAGCAATTAAAAAAAATTGACTTCCAAATTTACTTTGACTTGAATTTCATAGGCATTTTACAAGATACAGGTACATGACTGGCATGCCTGCAGTCCCGACCTTTCTCCAGT